AAAGAAAGAAAGAAAGAAAGAAAGAAAGAAAGAAAGAAAGAAAGAAAGAAAGAAAGAAAGAAAGAAAGAAAGAAAGAAAGAAAGTTAAATATTTAGAAGGAAAAAAGATTTACAAACAAGAGATTTACAAACAGACTTTCTTTTCAAAACAACTTTGCCTGAGACCCAGGACTGCACATAGCTCTTCAAAGCTATAGGTTATGGGCCCAGACTCCTCCAAAAATTGCTTCAAATAATCCTCGACGTATACCAATCCATGTAACGATTGTTCAAAATTACAATAGCCTTGGAAAAAATGCTTCATGGCTTGTAAAGCACTTCCAACTGTTGCTATTTTTTTACGACTCCTTTGCCATGCAATCACAGGATTGTGAACTGGGCACTTGGCAACCTGTTTGCACTTAATGGCCAGTTACCAAATACCCAACAATAATCTGATCACTTTTTACAATCTTCCCTGCTGGCTTTCCCAGAAAGTCAACACTTTCCGTCTTGACTTTAGCAGGGAGAAAAAATTTTGGCGCATGAATAAAGAATGTAGCCTGCATTAGGCCTTCCAGAGCTCTGATGCACCATGCGCTCTTTACCCTATTGCTACTTCTCCACTATAACACTGAAAATCCTCACTGCAGAACAGAGACAAAGGGTCACTTCAGGAAGGTGAATGGGTGTAAAAGTATACACACATGTAGGGGAGAGAAAAGGCAGAAAGTGGGAGAAGAGTGCATGCATGGGGGGGGGGGTGAGAGAGGGAACGGATGAGTTTGGGAATAAGCAACAATAACCAAAGAAAGGGGAAGAAGAGGGTGGGGAGGAGGAAGGCTAACTGGAGGGCAAAGAGAAAAAGGACAGGAAAGGGAAGGGGAAGGGAGTATCACTCTTTGTCACTCTCGGGCTTTCTTCAGCTCTGCCTTCCCTTTCCTGCCATCCAGGGCAAAGGCATACATGCCTTTTTTGTTTTGGGGCGGGGGGTTGTTGGTACTTCACAACAGCAGCAGCTGAATTCAACTGTAGCAACAGTGTCAACTGTTTCTCTGCTGGGAAATGGGGATTCCTTCCAAACTCATTCTAGCAAATTCCTGTCACTCCTCAACAGCTTTCATGTGTGGAGGTTTAACATGCTTGCATTTCAGAAGGGAGGCTTTTCAGCACCAGAGCAAAGAGACAGCGGTAAGGTAAGGAGGCTCAGCACAGGAAGCATGCTGTGAGTTGGCAGGGAAGATTTTCAGCCCTTGAGCAGATAGAGACTCAAACATGGCCTGCATCAGGCCTCCCATGAGCTCTGCCAATCCAAAGCACCCAGCACATCTTGCCTGAGACTCCACTTAACAGCCTATGAGATTGCTTAACAACCTTAGCCAGGAATGCTGGAATTGCACTTGTTGGGTGAAGGGGTCATGTGATGTCTCACAATCAAGGTTCTGGTCCCAATTGTGGTTGCTAAGCTGATGACTACCTGTATAGTATCAATACCACAAAAGCAAAACAATAAAAATATCCCTGGAAAAAAGTATGTAGCATATTTGGGTTTTTTTTAATTACACAAATGACTAATTTAATTTTTGCCCCAATTTAGCATAACCTATGGCCCTTGACCTAGAGCAGTGTTTCTCAACCATAACTTTCAATGCATGGACTTCAACTGACTGGGGAATTCCGAGAGTTGAAGTCCACTTATTTTAAAGTTGCTGAGGTTGGGGAACACAGACCTAGACTACTCCGTATGTAAATCATATAGCGCTCACCTGGGAGCAGTTGTTGCTGAAACGGTAGTTGTGGTGGGTGAACAAGATGACATTTCATGCCCAGGTGAGGAGATACTCACTCTGGCAACAGGTTTCTCTGATCTTGTGCAGGTCAACTGAGAAGTGCTTTTTCCTGTGCGAGCAGAACTCGCTGTTTTTATGAGGTTTTCTGCAGATAGTGATACACGTTCCAATGATTTCTCATCAGTAGACATGGATAAATCTTCATTGCCGCACTCACTTTTGTCATCAATAACAACAATATTTTTGGGCATTTCCTTGAATTGATACACTAGCCTTTGTCCTTCAACTTTTGCTAGAATTCCTCTTTGATAATAGTATCTGAAAGAAATACAGATGTGTAGAACATTAATTTAAATAAACTATTTCCATTCAGTTTCTAACCTTTAAGTTACTTTGTTCATGAAAGTGGTATCTCAATTTTTTGTACCTAAAGTACTTAATTTTAGAAGGCAAATGAAGTAAATAATATTTTCCTTAGGACTGTAAAAGTTGGCATGTTAGTTTAAGAGCATTAAAAAGGTTATAGAGAAAGCATGATACCTGCATTGCTTTAAAAAAAACAATTTCAATATTTTTATCTCTTTTTTTCTTCATTTTTTTTTGTTCTTTACCTCAAGGCTCTTCCCATTGTCTCATAGTTCATATCAGGCTTGTTCTTGTGTTTTCCCCACAACTTGGAAACTGCTTTTGAGTCCACAAGTTTAAAAATGCCTTTTTCTCGCTGAGTCCATTTGATATATCGAGGGCAGGTATTTTTATCTTGAAGTAAATCCAGAAGGAATTCCCACAAATAGGTAGTATTTCCTATTTGCAAAAAATATATATTTCAGGAAATCAAAGAGCTAATTACCTCCAAACAAACAAAATTATGCAATTAATTAAGCTAGCATATTAGAATAACATTTAACTGCTATGTTACATAGTATTTTTATGAAAGCTAAGCATATATTAAATATATTTTCAAAATGGGCAGAAATCAATTTTTTTGAAGGAGATAGTTAAAACTACAGTGGATATTTTTGCCATATAGTAGTTATTTACTTATTTAAAATGATATGGCAAAAATATCCACTGAAAGCTTTCTAGAGTAGGAATTCACGGTGTAATTGTTAGTATTTGTCGAATCATCTTGCAAATGCATTTGTACTTTCCTAAATGAACATCCTGTATTTTTTACTTTTGGAATGAAAGAATTATTAACGTCATTTAAAAATACTTTTATACATAAATAATCAAATAAACATGCTGATAACAAAAAATGTTGAAATTTGATGTTATTTAAAAGATCTTATCTCCTTGCCAAAATAGCAAACTAGTTAGCATCAATTTTATTAAAAGCTTTATCAGGAATATGAATCAAAAGAATACATTGTTTAAAAATGTATTTCCCAAGAGCATCTAATATTAATAACTTCCAGATTAAGTAGTTAAATTTTCTTCAAAGCAACATATAATCTAGTATTCTTATATCAGCCAAAAAAAGGAAAAGAAAACAAGCGCTCCTATTCATTTTTAGCAAGATTTTAAGCAGCAAACCAAAAATGAAGGTCATTCACAGGTATTTTTTTTAACAGGCTTCCATTCTGAATATATATGGCTATATTAAGAAATAGCCAAATATGTATATCTTAATACTACTTTGAATTTCAGGGTAGGGGCAGCAATGATATAGGTTTTTCTCTAAAGAACTAATGTATATTAGACAACATAAAGGTCTAAGAATATAATGCGATACATGTAATGTAAAATGTAATATATGATATACAAAATGTAATATAACACCACATATCTATATAAAGACGCCTTAGAAAAATATCAGAATTTGCAAATTCTAACCAGGGGAAATTAGAATAAACTTTTGTTTGTTTTCCCATCTATTTAATTGAATGTATCACCTCAACCATCAAAAAACAAATATTACAATCTTAAATAACTTTATTAGAGACAGATACATGATGATATGAAGTAAATACCAATGAGCAACTGAATAAGGTTAATACACAGGCATGCAACCTGTAAACAGTACGCAACAACAAAAAGCCAATCCGTAGATTCCCATAGGTGCTCAAAATGATCTCACCAGTAATCTCTCTGCAACTATTAAGCAAAAGTGAGGACTTATTACAGACAGACTGGTGAATCCATGAATAGATGCCTATCATTTTTGTGTCAAAATGCAAAACAAGTCTGCTTTCTGTTGTTGTTTTTAACTTCTCATTCTGGTTTTATAGTTCTCATATTTCTTGGAGGCCTCCCACTGAAACACTAAATAGATCCAGTCCTACTTAGCTTTAAACAAGATTGCCTGGATGCTGTGACTCTCCGGGAGATACAAGTAACAGCAGTACCCTCCACTCAACTGTCCTTGAAGGCCAATACAGGAACATTCCCTACCTGGAGAGATAATGCCCTTGTGACTCTGGAAACACAGAAACAACAGAGCATGTGCTTCTCTATATTACAATGCCTGTATTACAGAGACATACTAGCTTTGTCTCACCATTACTGCATAAATACATACCCAGGTGCACATGACAATTTTAAACCTCCCTGCTGCTTTCAGATACTAATCCTGCTGCAGCATACAATGCTGTCAGGTTCTGCGCAGCAGCGCTGAAAATCTATCAGACCTGTGTCATAAAACAATCTTAATGAATACCTAGTTCATCATACCAGAGTGCTCTACACTGTGATAGATTAGTCTGCCACATATTTACACCAATCTATTGCTCCTATCTTCATTTAGATTTCTTTCAGAATTTGATTTTTAAATGTACCATTTTATATTTTTTACTTTTTAATAATAATTATTATGTAGACTCTGATATATTTTCTATGCTTTTTAATTGATTATACCCCACCTTCATATACTGGTCTTTGACTGTAACAAAGATTTGGCAGAACTAATAGCAATAAGGAAATAATTTTATCAACTATATGAAAATCAGAAAACAAGGGGAAAAGAGCTTTAACACCTGTAATTTGCAATCTCATTCTCAACTTAGCCTTTCCATTTCGGAGATCTTGAAACAACCTAATTCTGCTGGAATGAAAAGGGTCCTAGAGGAAACTTTGTGGAGAACTAGTGAGATGTGGTAGTTACAATTTTGGACTCTAGTTCAAATCCACCTTCAACCATCAAAGGCCCCTAAGTGACTTTGAGCAAGTCATTTTCTCTCAGCGTAACCTAAAAGTCAGACACTAATCAACAGTAATAAATACTCTTTTAATATGCTAAGTGCTACTGTAAATCTTCAGCAGAAGTATCTATTTTCAACTGGGAAAAAAATCACATTACCCAAGCCATGTAGACAGAAATATACCGGAAATCAAACTCTAGCAGTACCTTAGTTGTTGTTGTTGTTGTTGTTTGGGGGGGGGCTTGAAAACTCTGAAAGACTAGCTCCAATTGACCCTTATTGTTAGGCACTAATGCTATGGGGAATATTATATTTACTACATATCTCACAATATTTAAAATAAAACATAATTAGCATATTACCTTTGCCCTCTCTTGGCTTCTTTTTTATACCCAAGTCTGGAGATGAATTGGAAATGGTTGATGGCACTTGAGATTTTGGCTTACGGCCAGCTGTAGAGAACAATTTATTAGCGTGAAACAATCATAGAAATAGTATTTCTCACCTTTAGTTCTCTCAGAGTTTAACAAAAATAAATCGTCAAGGTTGATCTGATGTGGTTTTAGAAATACTGGTGCAGAAGATTAATATTTCCTACTTACAATCTAGAACACTACTCCATCAGAGTAGGAAAACAATAAAGTGCAAGTACAACCATAATTATCATCAGCCTTATCTTGAAAGTATTTATTTTAATTAAGCATTTACAATTGTTTACTGACAACTCAATCTTTAACATGTTCCAACCAAATATTAACCAGTGGAACAACTACTAAAATAAAAATATCAGTCTGAATAGCCTTTCTAAGAAAATGATCATATAGATAATATGCCGGTCTCACAGAAATGTTCTGTACTTTTAGTCATCATACAAACATACACAAAGTACCTTTCTTTTTTTTAATGGGCTCATGGATTTCTGGAGAAGTTTGTGAAGGAGATGCATCCATTGGTTCAGATTCTTCAGTCGATACTTCCACAACAGTTTCTGTAATTACGTCTGGTCTCATTGCAGCATGGATGAACTCTGGAGTTGACACACAAGGCGGAACAAAAACTTCCACTAAAGAAAGCAAATAAATCAATAAGGTAAATATTTTTTAAATTCAGATTTTTCAACTTACAAATAAATCTATTTCAAATTTTAGAACCATTTCCAAAAGGTGCAAAATAAAAAATAAAGTTTTCTCATCATTCATTTGCATTCAGTTACTAGAATACCCACAAATACTGTGGTGCTGCCTGTATTATATGACACACTCTGGGCTAATCTGCATTTTTAAAAATTAAATTAAATAGTAATTGTTTTCAGTACTGGAAAGTTTGTGCACTAAATTACAGTCTGGAAATAACTGTGTTCTGTGTGACATTAATTCATTCATAAATTGAGAAAACCAGGATTTATTGAAATGAATCAAACTGTTCACTAAATATTCATTTTAGCTAATCCTTCGATGTTAATAGTCTAGTTTGTTCCTCATTAGCATATCACTTACTCCCATTTTATAAACTGTGTCACTATCACTAGATACAAACCACAAATTGCATGTAAAGGTAATAATTAAATTTGCAATGAATGTTGCTAAATTTAACCTGATGACACAAACAGAAAGAAAATTAAAACCAAGACACAAGAAGACTATGTTTTCTGTTGGCTTCAGTTAAGAAAACCTGACATGGGTTTATTAACTGATGTACAGATCAATCTAAAGAGATACTTATGACATGGAATTTTCTGGAAACAGAAAATGTGCAGCAATGTTACAAACAGCTTTATAATTCATACAGTAATTATGAATTACACCAACATTATTTTCATGCAGTAATGCAATATTGCACCAGGTAACACTACATATTGCATGCAGTACATAACTTGTAGACCAGTTTTAGGAACAAAATTATTTATGCCCTATGAGCAGAAAGATATAATTAAATACTAACTGATTAATATTCCTCCCTCTCACCTAAATTAAGATAACTTGAAGGTCTTAAAACATTTAGACTGAATATTACTCAGGGGATACTTATCTGGTAAAAAATATAAGATATTTAACTGATGTGATTCATATACCTGGACTTCTAGCATCTCTTAAGCAGGTTGGAGATTCCATATGAAGCAAGGCTTCTGCTGCTTCAATTGTCTTATCTGAACAGTGCACATTGCTGCCATGAACAGATGCTTCCACTGTAAAAAATAAACAAAATATTTATTTGACAGATATTGTGAGCCAGAAGTTCATGCGCCATATGTTATTTATACACATGATTTTAAACAAATATATATTAGACATATATTCTCATTTTTTGAGATGAGAGTGTATTCCTTTCTTTTACAAACCTCAAAATCTAAAATCCAGTGGTTAAGTTATCATACTAAGCCAAAACCAAACCAAGCACATGATAGCTTAGAGAAATAGAAACCTACTTTACTTACTTTACTTTAGTACTTTAGTACTACTTTACTTAGTTCAAGAAAATTAGGACAAAAATGTACATTCTGCATAAAGTTCATCATTCAAGAACAGCCTACTTCATTCGGTCTCCTCCAGAATACACTAGCAAATTACCATATTTTTTGCACTATAAGATGCACTCCCCCCCCCCAAAAAAAAATTGGGTGGAAATGCCTGTGCGTCTTATGGAGTGAATATTGCCTATAGCCGCCACCTATCGGCAGTTAGATTGGCCTCCCGGAATACCGCCAATCAGCTGTTCCAGGCAGCAGGGATTGCCGTCATCGCCCATTGCTGCCACTACCGTTCGGCGGTAGCACAAAGGAGGCACCAACACCGTTTTTGGCTGGCCAGCCCGCTGATTGGCAGGGCTACGGGAGGCTGAGATCCAGTTGTCACTCAGCTGACCGGTGGTGGGCGTAACAGAGCAGAATCCTGATGAGCCACGTGCTGGAGCGAGGAGAAAGAGGCAGATTTTTTTTGTTTTCTTGTTTTCCTCCCCCAAAGCTAGATGCATCTTATGGTCTGGAGCATCTTATAGTGCAAAAATATGGGTAGTTAGCATATTAGAATAGCATATGAAAAGACTGGACCATTCCTGGTCAAATTGTATGCTTTAAAGAATCCCAAAAAAGGAAAGGCTGACATAACTTATGCATGTTACAAACATATACCTTAACTGGGGTGTCCAGGCTTTTGCAGTCAACTATTATGTCCAACATTCAAACCACAAGAATACATATTTATAGAAGTAGTCCACAAAGATGTGACAGTAGTGTTTGTGGAGTACTAAATCATAAGATTAGTGATGTCATTTTTTAAAAAAAAAACGATGATTCAATCAATCCCCTAAGAGGCACACATATTTGCATTTAAAAGGTAATCTATAAATATTTTTTGAATTCTAATTGCCTATTTACATTATTATGTTTAATCATTATTTCAAAAGAACCAAATTAAGAACATCCCTGATCCTTATCTTCTTTACTGTTCACACTCCTAAGCAAATGAATCAAACAAAGATTAAACTAAGCGCCTAATATCAAGTACATCAATTGTAATAATCTGATTAAAATTTAGATTATGAGAAGTAACCCATTCCGTATTAAAGCTTTTTCTATATTAATTCACTAACCAGTTTAATATCTCTTTATAAAAATATGAGGTCTAATCTAATTTCAAGGGCATAAAAAGCACAGATGTTGACTTAAACTTATCTGCACAAATGTAGAAATGGCTATAATCAATGCATTTTTTCTTTTATTGGGGGGAGGAGTCTACCATCCTCTTTCATCTTCTATTTCCCCACATACACACTAGATTTATTCAACCGAGTCTTTTTATTCTACACCATTTCTTAAATTCCAAATCCAAACTGGAATTTTCTTCATTTAAATGTAAAGTTGTCCCCTAACTTTCATTTGGAAACTTGTAACATGGCAACTTCTGGAGAAATCAATGCAGAGCCTACAACTGCAGTGAAAGGAGGAATCAGTGAATGGATTGGCTCATTGGAATTACTCTCTAGATCAAGGAGAGAATAGGGATCAACTACCAGCTTGCTCCATACAAAATGTCCCTGCAAAAAGAAGATAAAATAAATATTTCCAGCAGGTTTGATAGCTCTGGGAGTTGACCATCTTGCCTAAGGCATAGTTCAGTACCTCTTAACTACTTTAGGAAGGTGCTTATTATTTCCTTGTGAAGAACCTTCTGAAGGGCAAGTGAAAGACACGTTTCATTAGAAAAGGAGCCTCTCCTACCTTGGAAGAAAGAAGTTCTATGTAAGTTTAGGGATTAAAAGGGAGGGGGGAATTAACTTTTGGAAACAGCAAAAGGGAGCCAGAATGTTGATTTTGAAAAGTTAAAGGGATAGATTGGTTTGAAAGAGTATTTCTTGTGAGGTGTTCACATTTTTATAAAAGAATATATGAAGATTTTGAAATTAATTATCAGAAATAGTTGCCTGGAAAAGTTTTGTTGACTGGAAAATGAACAATTGGTAAGAGATGACTTGAAAGTTGAGTACAAGGAACCAGAAAGAACTAACAATTACAATCAAAGAAACAGCAGGCCATTAATACAATAAATCAAGGCTGTCAAACTCCTGACCCGATACATCATGCACTGGCCATGCCCATGCCTGGTTTAGCAAGGGGGGGGGGGGTGAGTCCTAATACATCATGTGACACGGCCATGATGACGTGAGTTTGACACGCCTGCAATAGATCAATACTGTTTGACTAGAAGAATTCATGGTTGTTTGAAGTCAGAAATTACAAGATTGTGTGGTACTATAACAGAGGATATAGAAGAACAACACATCTTACTGGATAAACTGGTGCCCATTTGAACGTGGATATTATTATTTTTTTAAATGCCAATTACAAAAGTGATATGGAAAATATCAGAATATAAGAGTGACACAGAAAAAGATGTCACAATGTATTTACAAATAAAAGCACCTTATGTCTTAATAATTAAAGGGGACCTACAAACAATAAATCAGAAAAGTGATCTGAAAACCTTCTGTTGGATTTACAAAAAGAGACATATTAAACTAATGAAGTTGTTCCTGAAAGGAGACAAAGTAAGAAATCAGCTTGTGAAACTTATTTGATGGGTTTAAAGATTAAGAAAAATTAAACAAAAAGAATTTAAAGTGGACTTGTTTGATCAGAGGTAATATATTGTGATTTCTGATAGGTATTAATGGAATTCATTTTTAATAAGCACTATATGACAAGATTTTAAAAATTTTATAAATAGAAGATATGTTTTTTGTTTCTTAGAGAAAAGTGATAAATTGGAATACAAAATGGACTTAAAAGATTAAGGTTAAAATGTAGCATGTTACAATTTCTGGTAGATCTTAGTAGACTTTTGCCATTTATAATTGAATGATGAGTTTTTATTACAGATAGTTCTTGACCTATGACTACAATTGAGCCCAAAATTTATGTTGCTAAGTGAAACATTTGTTATGTTAATTTTGTCCAGTTTTTCTTCCCACAGTTAAGCAAATCATTGCAATTGTTAGTACCACGGTTCTTAAATGAATCTAGATTTTGCTTGTCAGAAGTTTGCAAAAGGTGATCACATGACCCCAGGACATAGGAACTGTCATAAATATGAACCAGTTTCCAAGCACCTGAATTTTGATCGTGTGACCATGGGGATGCTGCAATGGTTGTAAGTGTGAAAAACGGTCATGTCACATTTTTTTAGTGCTCTTGTAACTTTGAACAGTCACTAAATGCATTGTTGTAAGTCAAGGACTACCTACATATTATTAATAAAAGATAAGATAGGATAAGATATTTATTGAAATATTACAGGTGTTAAGTTACTGAAATTGTATATTCTTATCTGGAGAGAAGGGAAAGTTATCTTTTAAAAATCTTTGTTTCTTACACTTTATTTTCTTTTTCAATCTTTTTGTATTTTTTTTTTTTACTTTATATATTCACTTAGTTTGTGTTAGTCTTGTATCTATATATACTTAAAATTATTTCAAGAAAAATGTGTAACTTGTACCTTTCAATTATTACTTTAAAACCAATTTTTCACTAAAGCAAGACCTTTTTTCCACTAAATTAACATTTGACTCAGTATATTGTTTGCAGTATAATATTTTGTTTGCTTACTTAAAAAGGGAAAATAGTTAATGGATAATGTTTAAGGTCCTGTATCACTAAAAACACCTTACAGATATTGTGATATTGACCAACCAATACATAAAAAGCACACATAGAAAATTTTGGTCTTCTATCAGTGGAAACTGTTAAAATCAGCAGCAAATAGTACCACCTGCTGCATATTATCTATACACACGAAGGTGTACACAAGCACATTCACATTCTCTTTCTCTCTCCACTTGCTCTTTCCATTTATGGAAATCTATTCAAAGCTAAATCCTTCCAGCTGAGCTGTCAGCATCTAAAGATATCTTTAGAATAAGCTGGATCACTTATCAGCAGTGCTAGGGAAACTAATGAAGAGTCAACTGGTGCTTCGGTGTTAGAACTGTTAACTATTTTGTTAACTTCGAACTTCGTTGTTAGAACTGTTAACTATTCTGTTAACTTCAAAATTCGAAATGGAATATTAAACAAGAAAAAAATATTTTACTCATCGTCTTTTCAGATCCAAATCATGTAAGAAAGCTGCCTCAGAAAGAATCACGGAAGAATATTTCAATAAACAATCCCAGTTTTTCTAAAACAGCTTATGTTATCAGTCATTATCATTACCAAAGAGCAAGATTTCAAAACCAGCTTCCCATCCATAACAGCAAAGATGAAGGCAAATAACCATTATGAAAAATGGAAAAGGACAGACCTATATACATGCAAAGCTGCCATTCTTTTCAAATATTTAGAATAAGATGGTTTTCAGCATGCATTATTATTATTACTATGATTATTACCTCAGATACTATTTCAAGAGGTTTCTTGCTAAGTAGCAGCTAGAAATAATTCAATAATCATACAATACACATGCTCCTGTTAAAATTAAGCTTTGTGATTTTCAGTGGAGTTTTCTGTTACTTAACTATAAATACTACTCATCAATATAAAAGAGTCTATAGGGAAATGAATAGCCATCATCCTTATCCAAAAGGAGAATCAATAAATTCTATAATTAGTTACCAGAAAAAAGAGTAATACTTTCAAGAAAAAGTTCTCAATATACTCTTCCAAAGCCTACCATTTTGCATTTGGAAAGATCT